CAAAAACAAAATACAAACAAAGGGTTGGGGGCCTGGCTCATGCCTCAGTGCCTAACCCACGTGAGGCCCTGGGTTTGTGCACCAGGACTGCAAAAAAAAACAAAAATCAAAACAATTTCTCAACAAGAGGCACCAAGGAGACAAAACAGTCTAGATGACCATCCCACCACCAAAATAAACACATGTCGTAACACCCACAGCCACTGTCATGCCACCTGAGTACGTACTGTTCTGTTCTGGAGTCCGTAGCAGCCCAGGCGAAGGAACAAAAGGGCCCATGTACCTGTCACTGGGTAGCCGGGTCAGACCTGGCACTAGGTGACCCAGCTCCAGAAAGACCTTGTAAGTCAGCAAGGGAGAACTTTCTCCTGGGGCCCTGGCGGGCTCCATTCACTGGGGATGTGAGGTGGGGTTGGTGACCAGCCGAGGGTGGAGTCTGCACGCTGGGCCCCAGGCCTTGTCCGGATTCTAGAACACCAGCTGAGACCATAGGACACCTCGCCCCAAATGCCAGAGTCTCTGGCTTTCAGGCCCCAGGGCTTCTCGGCCAAAGCACAGGGGAAAGGTGTGTACTGTTCCCAGCCCTCCGCCCTGCCTTTAAACATGCGCAAAAGCTCCCGAAAGGCTGGGTGCATCGGCCTCCTGGAATGGCTCCCAGAAGCTTCTGGTTCAGCACCTGTGTGCACGGGGGCAGAGAGAACACTGATAGCACCCCGACTTGCTGCCAGGTCCTTCTGGAGGGAACGTGAGGAAAGGCAAGCCCTACACTGTGCAGTCTCCGCAGGCACCAAGCCAGGGGGACGTGAACATAGGACGGGGCTGAGGACTAGCAGTGCGAGACGCACTCCGTTGCCTGGATACTCACATGTCCTCTTTGGCACCCTGTACAGAAGGCGCAAGGCCCAAGGAGCCCTGGTGGCTTGCCTAGCACTTTCCAACTGAGAGTGAAGGAGCCTGGGCTCCTGCTGAGTGGCTCAGGTCCTGGCTTGTACCTATATGGATATCACCTGGCTGGTGTCCACTCTACGTGTGGACTGTCTGACCCTTCATCAGTTACAAGCCACAGCCCAGTGTGACCCCGATCACTCAGGATTCTACACAAGCCTCCGCATGGCCTTCCCCTTGCTGTTCCTGCTCAGCCCTTCTTCCCAGGAGGACAGCAGCCAGTGCTCGCAGAACATGCATGCACATGTCTTTCTTTTTCATCGTGGCACTGGGGTTTGAACTCAAGGCCTCATGCTTGCCAGGCAGGTGCTCTACCACTTGAGCCACTCCACCAGCCCTTCTTTTGTGAAGGGTTTTTCAAGATAGGATCTCGTGAACTATTTGCTTGGGGCTGGCTTCAAACTGTGATGTGATCCTCCTGATCTCTGCCTACCAAGTAGCTGGGATTACAAGTGTGAGCCACTGGCACCAAGCTACACACGTCTTTCTTTGTGGTCCAGGGGATGGAGGCCAAGGCCTCACAGCTAGGCAAGCATTCTCCCAAACAACCCCTGAGCCAACTCTCATAGATTTTTAAGTCTGTGCCCCTGCAGCTCCTTCACACCCTCCAGAGGCCCTGGCGCAGAGTAGCTCAGCCACTTACTTCCGGCTCTGGGCTGCTCTCCTCTCCGCCGCGGACCCAGAGATGTACTTGAACAAGGGTATCCTCCTCATGAGGCTGAAGGGGAACTTCTGGTCGAGCTTCAGTGCCACCCGCTCCGAGAGGTCAAGGGAGTAGCAGTATGTGAGGCCATCTGGGTGGGCGTGTTAAGAAAAGTGGGAGGCACCCAAGGGAGGAGAGCCGATGGTGCCCAGCACAGGGGACCCAGAGGGGAAACTCCCCATTCGTACACCTCAAGGGGACAAGGCCTCAACAGGGCCAGGCAGATGGGTGTTAACACTCCCTCACCCCCAGCCTTCCAACCAGGTGGCAAGCCAGCATGCACCTGACCTTGTACTGTGTGATGGTACAAGGCTGTCCTGATATCCCCCAAAAGGCATTTTGCCCATGTTACCACCCTCAGTCACTCATCAGCATCCTGGTCACCTAGCCTGCTCAGCCTTCATAGCCACAAAGACTCAGCATCGCTTACTCACACCTGCCAGTGAACACCTAGTAACAATCTATTGTATGCCTGGGCAAAAAGAGCTATCAGTAGGGGCTGAGTATCCCTCATCTGAAAGAGTTGGGGCAAAGTGGGGTTCGTCTGGACTTTGGAATATCTGCACATATATAATGAGGTATCTGGCAGATGGGACCTAAGGCTAAACACAAAATTCATTTCTGTTTCAGAAAAATGTTCAAAGACATTTTTATTGCATCTGTTTGCCTGCAACCCATCAAATGAGGTCAGGTGTGGACTGGGATTTGAACTCAGGGATTCTCACTTGCAAAGCAAGTGCTCTACCACTTGAGCCACACCTCCAGTCCATTTTGCTCTGGTTATTTTAGGAGATGGGGTCTCATGGACTATTTGCCTGGGCTGGTATCGAAATGTGATCCTTCCTATCTCAGCCTCCCAAGTAGCTAGGATTACAGGCATGAGAACACAGCCAAGTCACTTGCCATGTTGGTGCTTAAAAAGTTTTGAATTTTGGATTTCAGATTTTTGGGTTAGGGACACCAGACAAGGATTAAGTAACTGGGGTAGTAGGTGCTGCTAAGAGTACGGTGGGGACTGACCTCACTAGAGTGGATAAGGCTCTCCCTAAGAAGTGACATGAAGGCTGAACCCCACATCGTGAGAAGCAACACACAGGAGAAAGGGGAATGCTGAAGACAGGCCTCAGGGAAGTGCCCCTGAGGAATGTGCTCCTTGAGGTGGGGCTCTTTTCTCCGGGGGTCAAGTACTGGGAACCAAACCCAGGGCCTGAGCCCTGCCCCAAGTCCTCTTGCTTTATTTTATTTATCACACAGGGTCATACACTTTTGCCCAGACTGGCCTTGGACCACAATTCTCTTATGTCAGCCTCTTGACAGCTAAGATTAAAGGTACACATCACCACATGCAGCTCTTGAGATAGGGTCTCACTAATTTTTTGCCTGGTCTGGCCTCAAACCTCAATCTTCCTATCCCTGCCTTCTAATGGCTGGGATTACAGGAGCACACCACCATGCCTGGTCTGCAACTGGCATTTAAATAAGATGATTCATTGCTAGGCTGCACCATCCCACTCAGGATGCTTAGAACCTTGCTTCTGGCCACTAATGGCAGTTGTCCCTAGTTATTGTGGTGACTAAAACTGCCCTTGCATGTTCCTAGGAAGGATTCCAAGCAATAAGCAAAGCTATGAAGGAGTCAAAAGTTGTTGTGGCTGCTGGTTTAGGAAGAATGTCAAGAACCTCTTCTGCTCTGGGCTCTGCTGAAGTAACACGGCTACACTAGACCTTGCATTGGAAGTATCTAGGAACCAGCACGTTAAGCAACGGTCTTCAGACTGGCCAGTAAGCCTTGCTAGGCTGTGGAAGTGAGTCCCAACAACATGCTGGCTTTCTTCTGGAGGCATGAGACAGCACAAGCACAGCATTGCAGCCGGGCCAGAGACAGGTAAGAGTTGGGGAAGGTGAGGGAGCTGGATATGCCCAGAGTCACGAGGGGTGATCTGAGAAGGGCTCTCCCTGGGTTTGCTGCTGAATGCTCAGGTGTGGTGTGCAGGACAAGTCTCCTCAGCCAAGCAGGGATAGCTAAGGGTGGCAATCACACTGGGGAGTGAGAGCATCCCAGCTCCTGGAGCTCATCCACTGTAGGGTTCCAACCAGAGTGACACAATCTCACCCAACACCCAGGTCGCTAGAGGCCACTGAAAAGACAATGCTTAAAAGTAAGGCTAAGAGCTGGTGGAGTGGGTCAAGTGGTACAGAGCCTGCCTAGCAAGCATGAGGCCCTGAGTTCAAACCCCAGTACTGCCAAAAAAGTAAGGCTAAACTCGTCACGGAATAAAGGCTGCTCTAATTCTGCCTAAAAGACTTACAGAAGCCCTCAAGTTTTAAGTGATATTCAAGTAAGTTCACTGCCCATCAGAACAAAAATCAGCATTCAACTATACAGCATTCACTGTGACCAGCATAAATTCAAAAATTGCCAGACCTATAAGGCAGCACAAAAATGAAGCTGATATTGAGGAGGAAAATCAAGAGAAAATCAGATCCACACATGGCAGAGGTGATCGTATTAATAGACAAGGATTTCAACATAATTATTATAAATATGTAAGCATTTAAATAAAAATATAAACACAATAAAGGAATAAAGAACCTCAATAAAGAAAACTGTAAAAACAAAACCAGATGGAGCTGGGCATAGTGGCATACACCTGTAATCCCAGCACTTGGGAGGCTGAGGGAAGAGGATTGAGAGTTCAAAGCCAATGAGGGCTACACAGTGTAACCCTTTCTCCAAAAAAATCAAATGGACTTTTTGAGTTGAAATACAAATGTTAAATGAAAACACATATACATGTGAAACAGTTATCAGCAGGCTAGACACTACAGAAGATCATTGAACTTGAAGGCCAGGCCATAGAAACTATCCAAACTCAAGTGCAAAAGAAGAAAAGGCTGGCAAAAAGGAGAAAGGAACAGAGCCTGAGTGACCCACAAGCAATACCAAGCCGTCTTAATTTAGAAGGCTTAATTAGAACAGAAGATGGAAAAGAAAAAATGTGAAGATAAATAATGACCATAATTTTTTTTCAGATTTGATGAAAATTCTACTCAAAGATCTAAAAATCCATGAACTCCAAGCAGGATAAACACAAAGAAAGCTACCTGAAGGGATATCAGAATTAAACAGCTGAGGGGCGAGGAGGGAAGGACAGAAAAAGGGAGACTGGATTTGACCATCACACGCTACATTCATGTACAGAAATATCACACTGAACCCCATTACTATGTGCAATTAATGTGTGCTTAAAAAATGAAGCAGCTGAAAATCAATAAGGGAAAAAAATCATGAAAGATAGAAAAAGACAACCTGTCACACCAAAAGGAACAATCAAAATGATTACTTACTTCTCATCAGAAACAATACAGGCCAGATGATAGAGCAATGACATCTTTAAAATTATAAGAGGGAGGAGTGTCCAGGGAGATTGGAGAAGGCCAGAATTCTACACTTAGTGAAATGAAAGCAGTTTCAGACAATCAGAAGCTGAGAGAATCTGTTACCAGTGCACCTGCCGTGCAAGAGATGTTAAAAGAATTTCTTCAGGGTAAAGGAAATTAATACCAAGTGAAAACTTAGATCTACACAAATGTGAAACAGAACTAAAAATGGCAAATAGTGGGTGAATGTCTACTTGTAAACTTAAGCCCATACACAGCAAAAATTATGCTAAATGTAAATAGGCTAAACATGCCATTTAAAAGACAGAGACTGTCAGATTGGAAACTTAACTGTATGCTACCCAAAGGAAACAGGACTTCAACATCAAAACACAGACAGATTTTTAAAATAAGGCTGAGAAGATATATACCATGTGAGCCTAACTGCAAGGAAGGAGAAAGCTGGAGTAACTATATTGATAGAAGACAACGCAAACTTTAGTTTGAGATGACATATAATCCTAAATGTTTATATATTCAACAACAGTACTTGAAGTGTGAAACAAAAACTGAAGAATTAAAAGGCAAAAACCAGATAATTATAGATGGGAATTTTAACAGTGCTCTTCCAGTAAATGAAAGAACAAGCCAAAGGATACAGAAGAGCCTGAATGACACATTTTTTTTTTTTTCCTTTGGGGGGTGGCACTGGAGTTTGAACTCAGGGCTTTGTGCTTGCCAGGCAGGTGCTCTACCACTTGAATCATGCCCCGGTTCTTTTTGATCTGGTTATTTTTGAGATAGGGTCTCACCTTTTGCCTAGGGCAGCTTGGACTGCGATCTTCCTACATAGCCTGGGTGACAAGTTTGTGCCACAATGCCCAACATTTTCTGTTGAGACAACTCTCAAAACTTTTTGCCTGGGCTGGCTTGAACTGCAATCCTCTCACTCTTAGCCTTCCACATAGCTGGGATGACAGATGCACACCTCCACACCCAGCTACTGGTTGAGATGGGGTCTTTCGAACTTTTTGATGGGGCTGTACTCAAACTTTGATCCTCCTGATCCCCACTTCCCAAGTAGCTAGGATTATGGCTGTGAGCCACCAGTGCCCAGCTTTAATACAAATATCTTTTTCTTTTCTTTCCTTCCCTTTCCTTTCTTTTGGCAGTATTGGGGATTGAATTTAGGGCCTCTCACTTGCTTGGCAGGTACTCTACAACTTGAGCCACTGCACTAGCACTGACACAAATATCTTAACCTGAGATATAGAATAGCTTCAGAATCCACACTCTTTTTAAGAACAGAGTTAACAATCACCAAGATATACCAAATGTTGGGCCAGAAGCAATTTAAAAGAATGTTCTCTGCCCACATGAAACTAGCAATCAATAATAAAAAGAAATCTGGGCTGGGCTTGGTGGCTCACACATGTAATTCCAGATACTCAGGAGGTAGAAACTGGGAGGCCCACAACGCAAGGTCAGCCTGGGCAAAAAGTTAGTGAGACCCCATTTCAACAAACAACCCAGGTGTGGTGGTACATGTCTATCACCCCAGCTATGCAGGAGGCATAGGTAGGAGGATCACAGTCTGAGGCTGGTCCCAGACAAAAAATGTGAGACCCTATCAGAAAAAATAACAAAAGCAAAAAGGCTGGGGTGTGGCTCAAGTGGCAGAGGGCTTGCCTAGCAAGTATGAGGCTCTGAGTTCAAACCCCAGAACTGTTAAAAAAAAAAAAAAAAAAAAAGAGAAAGATTTCTGGAAAAATCACCAAGTACTTAAAACTAAACAGTGTTCTTATAAATAACCCCAGAATCAATGAAGAAATTCCAAGGGAAACTAGAGAAAAAAAAGAATTTCTTCCATATGCTAGGAAAGCACTTTACCACTGAGCTTACATCCCCAGCCCAGGAGGTATTTTTAACTGAGTGGTGACAGGAATATGATCCGTGATTGTGTGCTGCAGCTAAAGGAGCAATATAGGAGTGTTTGTAGATTTAACATTTTTATATTAGAAGATAAAAGGGCTGGGGTGCAGCTCAGTGGTTGAGTGTTTGCCTAGCACATATGAGGCCCTGATTTTACCCCCAGCAACACAGGGAAAAAATAAAAATAAATAAAGTTTAAAACCAACAAAATCCAACTATGCATTAAGACCTGTACTATCAGTTACCTGTATTTATACACAATTCTCCTAATAGCATACCCAAATTTTTTTTTTTTTGTGGTACCAGGGCTTGAACTCAGAGCCTACACCTTGAGCCACTCCTCCAGCCCTTTTTTGTAAAGGGTTTCTTGAGATAGGGTCTCATGAACTATTTGCCTAGGCTGACTTCAAACCTCGATCCTCCTGATCTCTGCCTCCTCAGTAGCTGGGATTACAGGTGTGAGCACCAGCACCCAGCCTGCACACTACACATTTAAGTGGTTTGAGGAGCATATCCTGTCCTACACCCACCTCATGAGTTCTGATGTTTAAAAAAGTAACCTCACTTTGCACTTCAGAATTTTTCCCAATTTTTGCCAGACTATAAAGGCTATGAAGTTTAGCCTAAATTCTTAACTACCCACGTAGTAAGAGCCTAGCCTTTCTTTCTTTTTTCTACTGTTACAAAAATGGTAATACACATATATGGGGGCAGAAGTGTAGCTCCTGTGGTGGAGTGTGTGTCTAGCCCATGTGAGGCCTTGGATTTGATCTGTAGCCCCATAAACAATCAAAAACAAAACAAATTGTTTCCTATCCCTTTCATGGACATCACGAGCTTATGGATATCTCAGACTTGTCCTCTTGAAGTATAGGTTTAAATGTCAGTTTACAAGACGAAAAAATCAAGCAGGCATATTTAGCTAACTGGCCATGCTAGGCTGGCACAGAAAGACAACTGTGTTGATGTTTTCCTCTGGCCCAGAGAGGGGCGGTGAGCTGGCCAAAGCTGAAACTAGAGCCTAGATTGTGGACAACCTAGCCCAAGACCCTCCCCTCCAACTGGGTTGTCCCTCTGCCCTGGCACTGCTAGTTCTCCTGCAGGAAGGATACATGCTAGTCCAATCAAAAGCCCACAGACGTTACTCAGGAAGGAGGTCTGAGGAATGAGCCAAGAGGCACCCAGCAGGAGCCACGGCACCAGTACTGAGGGCACGACCACGCCAAACACCAGGGCCCGTCTCATCCGAGAGCGGACCGAGGTGACTCCCAGCATGGCGAAGGCCACCGGTGTGAAACCTCTGGCATCCTCCACTTCCCCCAGCTTTGACAGTGATGACACGGCCTCCAACGACAGGAAGATGATGGCGGAGAAGACAGCGAAGATCAAGGTGAAGAAACAGTGGCGGACAGTGCCCACAGTTCGCTCGAAGTTGCCCGCAAAATGCCAGATAATGAGTGCGCCACAGAGCAGGGACACCGGGTTCTCGTAGACAAAGATGTAGGTCACCAGCCTGTAAACTAAACACGGATATGGATTAGCGGCCTGAGGGTGGCTTGCTCTGAGCAGGGAAAGCCAGGTTATAAGCCACCTAAGAAAGGGAAAGCAGCCCACGACAGAGAACTGACAGCCACCAAAACTCAGGAAATCAGCAGAGGGGCAACGATGGAGAACCTAACACTCAGGAGACAGGCGTGAAAGAACAGCTAGTGCCTGCTTTTTCCCAAGTCTTATCAGTGACCCATTTCCATGTGAACGAGATGCTTTCTAGCATGGAGTAGTCTCTGATTCACTGAAGTATTTTATCATCCTTTTTTTTAGGTTTTTAATGCTGACCTACCTCACCTGGCAGTTTGAGGGTTAATTAATTGTAACAGCTTCAGGGTGGATTGAGTGGGTGTCCCTTAGTACTGTGTGCGGCCGCCTCAGCTGTAATCCTGACCTTCCACAGAGGCTGTGCAGGGGAAGAAAAAGGGACCATAAATTACTTTGCAGCTATCAGGATTAGAAAGCTATCATTAATAATATAGAAATCAGAAGTTTTCCTTTAACGTGCTTATCCAGACTTACAGGTAGGGCCGAGCTTAATGTGTAATAACACAGCAAAGATTTGTACTTTTTTTTCTTTTTGCAGTACTGGGGTTTGAACTCAGGGCCTTGTGCCTGGCAGGTGGGTGCTCTACCCCTAAAGCCACGCTTCCAGCCCTTTTTGATTTAGTTATTTTATTTATTTATTTTTTTGGTGGTACTTGGGTTTGAACTCAGGGCCTCGAGCTTGAGTCATGCTTCCAGCCCTTTTTGCTTTATTTATTTACTTGTTTTTGTGATACTGGGGTTTGAATTCAGGGCCTCCCCCTTGAGCCACTCTACTAGACCCCCCACCCCATCTTTTTCTTTTTCCTGTACTGGGGTTTGAACCCAGGGCTTCATGTTTACAAGGCAGGTGCTCTCCTGATTGAGCCAAACCTCCAGCCTTCTACTAGCCCTTTCTTGTGATGGATTTTTTTGGAGATAAGATCACGTAAACTATTTACCCAGGCTGGCTTCAAACCACGGTACTCCTGATCTCAGCCTCCTGAGTTGCTAGGATTACAGGCGTGAGCACCAGCACCTAGTTGTTTTTAGTTATTTTTTGAACTGGGAATTGTTTATGCTTGGGCCAGCCTGGACCTCGATCCTCCTATATACACTTAGAGTGTGTGCTATCACACCCAGCTTTTTACTGGTTGAAAATGTGGTCTTAACTGAACTTTCAAGCTTGGGCTGGCCTAGAACCTCCATCCTCCCAATCTCTGCCTCCTGAGTAGACAGGATTATAAGTGTGAGTCACCATGCCTGGCATGCACTGCTATTTTTCTAAATGTGGTTATTTCTAATGTTCTTTATATCTCTGCAGACCAGAAGCACTAAATACTAAACTGAAGGAGGGAGATAGAGGAAGTGGCAGTCATACTGGACTTTGAAGTCTAAGACTTGGGACAGAATCTTGGCTCTATCACAACCAAGCTGGCTGAACTCAGTCAAGTTCAAATCCTCTCGGCTTCAGTTTCCTAACAGGGTTAAATTTGAAGCCTTCAAAGGTCTCTAATATAATAAATGTTCCCATGTCCCTGAACCCCACACCCAGGGACACTGTGAACTGAAGACAAAAAGGAGGTTCAGTGTAGGCTGCCACTTTGCTCTATTTGGGGGAGGAGTGCTGTGTTTCTACAGCGTGGGGTAACTTTTAGATTTAGCAAGGAAACCGGCTATATAAGAACCATATACCTCAGCCAGGCTGTGTCCAGAAGGCTTCATTATCTGAAGAGTACGTCATTATTTGTTGAGTACTTCCAAGACTGAAATTCCAAGTATAAAGGTGAAAAGATTCTAGAGGGATGTTTCTGAGATTTGGGGGTGATTATAATAACCCATGGCTCTAATTCCAAAATATCACCCAATAAAAACAAAAAGCTGGGTTCCCATCTCAATTGTATGATTTAATAGCTCTGCGACTCTCTGCATTTAGCCTCAATCTCGTGTAAATACTGGGCAATTTAATACAGGCTGTGTCATGGGATCGCTGTGAGAATTAAGTGAAAATTAATGCATGGGAGCATGCTTTGCAAAACAGCAAGAGCAATACACACTTTCCACATTCCTCCCTTGCAAAGGACGAGGAAGAAGCAGCAATGTCTTTTATAAATGGATGTTTATACTTAATTGATTTGCAAAATTTCTTTTCCCCCTGAGAGAACAAACACGTGTCCAAAGGCACCAGAGGCCATTACCCCTTCCTCTCCCCTTCTATGAGCTGGAACTGCAGTCAGGATTATGATACAAAAGCAGAAGAAATTCCAAACCTCAGAAGGACAGGACACTGACAAGGGGTGGCACCAGAGTTCTGTTTCACGAGGAACGTGAGAGACAGATCTGCTCTGCGTGGGGCTTAGGCCTTGCGCAGACGTGGGTGTGGATATGAGCTAGGACAGGGGAGGGAGCAGATTCGGGTTAGGAAAGGGATTACAGAGAGGACGAGGTTCTGGGGCGACGTGGAATATGGGGGGTCTGGATCTCAGGTGGGGAAGATGCACGGAGGTGGGGGGCGAGGCTGGCCGGGGAGCCTAGAACCCCGGGAGTCGCAAGAAGCAGCAGCTCAGGGCGCCATCCTGGTTCCGCCCCTGCTCACCTTGCCAGTTGCGCAGGGCCTCGGACCGCAGCGAGAGCCCCGAGGGCGCCAGGGGCGGCTGCAGCAGGAACAGGCGGGGTCCAGACACCAGCAGCGACAGCAGCGCCGTGAAGAAGGTGGCGGATGGCACCTCGGGACGCAAGCACCAGCTGCGACACCTGGGTCCCGAGGCTGCCATGGCCGCTGGCATTCCCGCGCTCGCCAGTCCTCGGCTCCTTCCGCCTTTCCGCGGCGGTCTCCCAGGGCAACAACAGAGGTGCCGGCAGGAAGTCTCGTCTCCAGAGGCCCCGCCCCTACTCTGAGCGTCCAATCCGGTGGCGCGAGCTATCCCTTCCGGCGCGGGGGATGCCGGGAGTTGTGGTCCTCTCATTTCGGCTGGGACCGCTGTAAATTCAATGTGTCGATTTTTTCTCACGCAGCTGCGGCTTTGATTTCCTTATATTCGCTGTAACGGCCCACAGAGCCCCTTCACACCACACCCCGCTTATCTATTTATCCCCATTATGCCAAAGGTCTGGGAGAGTCCCTACAACTAAATGGCAAAGGTAGGATTAAAACTCGGGTCCTCCCGCTGTAGCGCCTGGAATTGGTCAAGAGACTAGCAGAGGACACCTTCCGTGTATAGATGGGAGAAAAAGGGCGGAAGAGGGAGAGGGACTTGATGGAAGAGTTAGGAATACACTATAACCCCTTAATAAGATCTAATCCAGCACTTTGAGTTTGAAAAGTGCTTTTGACAGAGAACAGCTCTTCCAGGTGGGCATCTAAAGTATCCAATGACAGACACTCAAGCAGGTAAGGACTTGGCCAAGGTCACCAGTGGGAAGCGAGAGGGCTGGGATTTAAATCCAGGTGTGCTGGGTCCCAGGGTTCTACCCTTTTCAGTATTTCCCCCAAATACCCTACCCAATCCTTGTAGCTACATTTGACTGGAACCCACATAGACTTCTGGAAAATAAATGCAATGGGACAAAAGGTCCAATGCTTCTGTCACTTGATAAGACCAATGACGCAGAGATGGAGTGATGGGAGAAGAAAGAAGAAATTCAGTGAATTCAGTGGCCAAAGAAGGGAGAAGTGAGAACTGTGCTCACCAATCTACTTCTCAAAGGAGTTGAGGAGTTACAGAGTTAGACAGAAATAATGAAAGAGAGAGAGAGAGAGAGTCTAATAACAGGAGGAATTCATGTGTTTTCTGGGAATAGGCAGAGATCAGATCTTCCAGGAATTTGGGGGTTCCCCTCTTTTCATTCCTTTCGTGCTCTGGTATTTTTGGTCTTGAATGATCAACACATCTCGCTGCAGAACTGAGTTGGATCTGACCCAAAGGTTGAGACCACAAAGGTGACAAGACAGAATGTGAAAACAGAGGTACCAGGACTTTTTATCCCACTCCAGTCACCCTGGACATCTGCAGTCCTGAGTGAAGAGCCAGTGTTTTCAGCACAAGTGGCTTTCATGTCCCGAAGTGTAACCTAGGCAACTGTTATCCTAACCCACAGCAGGGGTGTTGTCTACCACACTGCTAGTGGGAGATTGATCATGAATTGTCCAGCTGTGTGACCTGCAAAATCAGTGACTTTTACATCACTGAGAGCAAGTGACGCTTGCCCTGGGTTTTATTCAGGGGTTTGGGTGTTTGTGTGTGTGTGGGGAGGGGGTTGGGGATTGAACCCAGGACCTCAGTATGCTAGGCAAGGGACCTATTTACTTCTTACTCCAGTAACGCACATGGTTCTCCGTGCTGGATGGACTCCGCCTGGCCCTCAGATCCACCTTGGCCCTTTTATCCAGTCCTCATAGTGTCTGGGTTCCTCTTCAGACTGGACTCCAGACAGCCATCCCCCTTCTACAGCTCCCACCCTGCTTGTTCTGCCCCACCTTTCCCTCCCTGTCCCCTCCAGGCCAGGGGCAGTAGTGGCTCCCTGCCGGTGCCAGTCCCTCAGTCTTTAGGCATCTTTTCTTTTTCCTTTTTCATCTGTAACACCCTTCATTCTGTTCCATGGGAACTTTTCAGCATGACACCCTTTTCTCTGGTGACCCTGCCTGATACACCCATCTGTCACATTGCAGGGGCGTTTGGCTTCTTCTCCACGCATCTTCCCTAAGTTATCAGCTCTATTCCTGGCCATGGTGACGCCTTTGACTCAGCCCTCACTGCTGCCTCAGAGCTTGGCAGTTCCCGCTGAAAGAGCAGCTCAAAATAGCCATGGGAACCTGTGCTGCTGTCACTGGAGACTGGGGCTGGGAAGGAAGGAGGGGTTGGTAGCCCCCAGGAGGGGGCTACACCAGAGTGCTGGGTGTATTTCTAGATACAATCTAAAAAAGGATGTCCAAAAGATAAACATATATATTAAAAAAAGCATGATAGGATTCAAAGCCAGATGCAGAACATGTGTGTAACAGTGGCTCTGCTCCATGGAACTCGGGAGGGGGGAAGGACAGAGAATGACAAAGCCTCAGTGATGTCGCATAACGTAAGATGAGGTGGAGGACGTAAGGCTGTGCACTGAAAGCTGGTGAAATGGGGGTGGGAGGTGAAGGGGTGAGGGAGAGCAATGGGAGGGGCTGAATGGACCAAAGTAAAGTAGGCTCACAGCGGGGACACACTGGGAAACCCCTTTGAACACTGACTTAGATATTCCTGATGAAAGACAGGGCTGTGACACAGGTACAGTGCGGGGCACTAGTGGGGGAGGTGAATGGAGGAGGTGAAGGGGAGGGAACAGGTGGATGACCTCACATTCTTACATGAAGCAGAACAAAGACAACTCTTGCAGGTGGGGCAAGTGGGGTGGGGAGGAGGTCGGGGGAGAGAGGATGGGGGCGATCTAACCAGTGCACAACAGAAGCCTAATCGGAATTGTCACAATGAATCCCTCGTATAATGAATATGTCCTAATGAGAGAAAGAGAGAGAGAGAAAGAAAGAAAGAAAGAAAGATAGATGGATGTAGGCACAACTGGGCGTCTATCTCACTCCTGTAATCCTAGCTACTTTGGAGGCTGAGATCGGGAGGATCGAGGTTCAAGGCCAGCCTGGGCAAATAGTTCTTGAGACCCCCCCACCTCCAGAATAACCAGAGCAAAATGGACTGGAGGTGTGGCTCAAGTGGTAGAGCCCTGCTTTGTGCGTGTGAAGCCCTGAGTTCAAACCCCAGTCCCACCAAAAATAAGGATGTAGGCAAACAGAACTTGTCCAACATGTGACCGGGATTGGGGACAGAGGAGGAACGTCCAAGCATGTCTGATGAGGAACAATTACAGGGACCTGAGAGACTTCCTAGAGAAGCTTCCAGAATCCTGGTCACTGACTGCCACTATCTGAAGGACTTCCTGGAGACAGAGTGGATGGATTTTGTGTTCCTCCTGAGCTAAGGCAGAAAGAGAAATGGTCTGGGGGACACACTTGGCTTAAGAAGAACTTTCTTTTTTTTCCCTCCTCTCCTCCTCTCTTCTCTGTCTTCTCTTTTTCTCTCTCTCCCTCCCTCTCCCTTTTTTCCCCCTCTTTTCCCCTCTCCTCTCCTCTTCTCTTCTTTCTCTCTTCTCTCTCTCTTCCTTTCTCCTATCTTTTTCTCTTCTGTCTTTTCTGTCTCACTCTCCCTCTCCTCTCCTCTCCTCTCCTTCCTTCCTTTCTTCCTTTTCTTTCATTATTTTTGTGGCACTGGGGTTTGAACTCAGGGCCTCAAGCTTGCTAGGCAGGCTCTCTACCACTTGAGTCATGGCCCCCCAACCCTTTTTGCTCTAGTTATTTTTAGATAATGTCTTGCTTTTGCTTGGGATAGACTCAACCCTCAACTTTCCTTCCTCTGCCTCCCATATAGCTAGAATTTCAGACATGTACCACCACGTCTGGCTTGTTCATTGAGATGGAGTCTCAATAACTTATTCCTTCTCTGGGCTGACCTCAAACGGTGATTTTCCTATGTCTGCCTTCCATGTAGTTGGGATTACAGGCATGAGCCACCATGCCTGGCCCAAGAAAGAACTTTCTGCCAGTGTGGGTTTTCCTCCCATGAGATGGGCTGCGTTGGTGGTAGTGAGCTCCTGGTTTACTAGAGTTGTGTAAGCCAAGGTTGCTGGAAATACAATGAAAAAGAAGGCCAAAGAGATGGTCAGACAGCAGGTTGGAGGCTAAACTGGATGTCTTTGGAAACTTTTCTGATCCTTAGTGCTAAGACACTGTCAAGGGTTGACAAGCTCACAGTTTACCAGGGGCTTGGGGATAATTGTACTGGGTCTCTTGGCAGAATGAGAAGTGGGGTGGCTTCATATATCCCACAGCCAGAGGCTATGCAGTCTAATGGCAGCACACCTGCCGAAAGCAGGGGAGCTATGGGTGAACCCACCTGCTAAACGTAAGTCAGCCCCTCCTGTGCCCTGGGCCTTGCACTGGCTGAGCACTTTGGGGTCACAGGAAGAGGACAAGATCAAGCCTTCTCTAGTTTAGAAAGCAGTTTCTCAAAGTACCACATACCACACTTCATTCTGTTTAGTAAAATTTTCCATTTTAAATATATATTCTGTGTATGCCTATGAATCACGAGTTTAAGGCCAGCCTGGGCTACTTAGCAAGACCCTGTCTCAAAACAAATCTTATTTTTATTTCACTCATAGTAATTGTATACATTTATGGTGTTCAATGTGACATTTCACTTTCTTGCAGTACTGGAGATGGAACCCAGGACCTTGCACCTGCTAGGCAAGTGTTCACCACTGAGCCCCAGCCCCAGCCCACATGTACAATGTGTGACGATCTTCAGACAAAGGTAATCGTGATCTACCATTGCAGGCACTTACCATCTCTCTGTACCACATTTAATTCTTACAAATCTGGAAGTTTAAAGTCATCAACTCTTTGTGTGTGTGTGTGTGTGTGTGTGTGTGTGTGTGTGTGTCTCTGGGGTTTGAACTCAGGGCCTACACATTGAACCACTCCACCAGTCCTTTTTTGTGAAGGGTTTTTTTCAAGATAGGGTCTCTCAGAACTATTTGCCTCGACTGGCTAAACTGTGATCCTCCTGATCTACACCTCCTGAGTAGCTAGGATTACAAATGTGAGCCCGGCCATTAGCTCCTCTTTTAAGGGAAACTCAAGGCTCAGAGAGGTTCAGGTGATTTGGTAAGGTCACACAGCCACTGAATAGCGAAAGCAGAATCCAGGCCCATTCGCCTGACAGTCAGCCCATGGTTCTTCCTACCCTGCTGGGAGCCAGTGAACTTTGGACCCCTTGAGCTTTGCCTACAC